AGAAATATATATATATATAGAGAGAGAGAGGCAGAAAGATGGAGAGAGATAGAGGGAGGCAGAGAGATGGGGAGAGAGAGAGAGGCAGAAAGATGGAGAGAGATAGAGGGAGGCAGAGAGATGGGGAGAGAGAGAGAGGGAGGCAGTGAGATGGAGAGAGACAGACATGCAGCGAGAAAGAGAGCGAGAGGAGGAAGAGAGAGAGAGAGAGAAACGCGTGAGAGAGAAAGAAAAAGAGAAAGAGAGAAAGAGACACAACAGACACAGACAACGAGATGAACGCGTTCGCTCGCAGAAACTCGATCTCCCGTGCCACCAAGTTCACGCCTCGTTTTACGTGACTGATCCCGCCTCCGCGCACTCCCCTACCCCGCGCGTGTTCCCCTCGTAATGAACCAACGATGAAGTGCAATTACTTTTCTCGATTGTTTTTTTCGTAGGAAACGTGATACAGCGACGGTGTGTTTATGTTTTGTCTCTAATAATCTATGCTTGCATGCGATGCTAGCGTGGTGGGCCGCATTCTTACCAAGCTCGACGCAGCGGCGTTTGATCGGCAGAGAAAACATCGCCGTGAAAAGAAAAGTGCTGAACAAGCGTCTGGTAATGAATGTCGAGTGTGTAAATACTGCGATATATATATATATGTGTGTGTGTGTGTGTGTGTGTTCAGCCGTGTAAACCTGGCGCTCGAACACGCAACTGCTGCTTGTTTTCGTTGGAAATAGTACACCTGGCTGAAGATCGAACCAGCCGCGACGAGCTAAAACGAGAGCGAAATAGCGAGATAGCCAGAGAGCAAGAAAGAGCGAGAGAGTGAGACAACGAGAGCGAGAGAGCAAGAGCGATAGAGCGAGAGAGCGAGAACGAGCGCGAGAGAGCGAGAGAGCGAGAGAGCAAGAGCGAGAGAGCGAGAACGAGAGCGAGAGTGAGATAGCGAGAGCGAGAGCGAGAGATAGAGCAAGAGCGAGAGAGTCTCGCTGAGAGCGAGAGAGCGATAGAACGATAGCCAGGAGCATCTGCAGTTCCGCATTAGTTCTCTCTCACGGCGCTGCTGTGATAGGTCGCCTGTCGGCAGCAGCAGCGGACGATACTTCTCTCTCTCTCTCACGTCGGATCGGTACTCCGCAGAAAGAACCGCAGCAGATACACGAACAATCCGTTCACACCGACCAGAATATTTGATTGCAGCCAATTATTGATCGCAGCTGACTATAGATCGGAGCGGATTATTGATCACAACCGATTTTCGATCCTAGCCGATTATTGATCACAAGCGATTTTCAAATCGTGAACTGATTTTGTCCTATTAGCGCCTCGCAAGGTTTCGTTGTCCTCGATATTGTTTATCTGCGGACCCCTGCACACACTCACAAACACAACCCCACCCACAGACACACACACACACGTGATCATGCGGCTCATCGCTTCGTGGTTGATCGTCGCCGTCGTTGTCGCCGTCGCCGACGTGGCGACGTCGCGAGGATCTTGCTGGCAGGCCCGGATGTGCTGCGGCGGTCGGAACTCGACGTGCGTCGTGCAGAACTATCCCGTCAACTCGATTCCCGACGACATGGACGATGAGAAATGTTACTGCGACGAGCATTGCCTCACGCTCGGCGACTGCTGCCAGGACTACAACCGCGCCTGCAGAGGTGAGTAGTCTGATATTTGATTAGAATTATTTAAGCTTAGAATTAGCTAGGGTTAGTGTTATGTTCAGTGTTGAGAGTAGTTAGCCTACGATTGGGGTTGGGTTTAGTTATAGTTAGGGAACCCCCAACCGCGACTGGAGAGGTGAGTAGACTGATAATTGATTAGAATTATATTAGAATATAGATCTAAATTAATTAGTATATTAATTTATATATATTAGAATTAGGATTAGCTAGGGTTAGTGTTATGTTCAGTGTTGGGAGTAGTTACGATTGGGGTTGGGTTTAGTTATAGTTAGGAACAGCTCAACCGCGCCTGCAATGGAGAGTAGAGTGAGTGCGTCCGTCGTTATTCAACTCTCACGCGCGTACACAGGTGATAGCTTGAACATAATATATCTATGCTAGTAGGCGTGAACTGTTCTACGCAGTATAGAACTGTTCGCGATGATAGTCGTGTAGAGATGAGTTACTCATCGAAGCAAGTAATTGATTGAGGCAAAGAGCCTATATTGATTGAAGAAAGAAATCGCTTAATTAATTGTTTAGAATTAGCTATAGGGTTACTGTTATGATCAGCTAGGGTTGGTGTTACGATTAGTGTTAGGAGCAGGTAAAGTTACGATTGGGGTTAGTTAGGGTTAGGGAAACGCTCGCAATATAGCTAATCTTCGGCGGAAGTGCCTGACACTCGGCTTTCCTTTTCTGCAACTCTTGTCGGTGAGTCTCTCATCTCGGCGCTTCGTGTATATATATGAATAGCATTAGATTCGCGTTTATAAACTCTTCAATGTAAGTTCGAACTCTTTTCTCTGAGAGAAATTCTTCAGGGTGGCTACCTATATCTTAATTCTGCGCGTCTATACATTAATTACGTTATTAACTCCGAGTTTGGTCGAAGTTACGTTAATACTCGTGTACTTATGTAATTAAGTGTCGTTGTGTGGAATCAACAGAATGCGGAGTTTGAAGAGCGACTGGTGATCATGGGGGTTGTTGCGATATTCATCGTCTTGTAAGGGGAAGATATTCATCCATAGTCATCCATAGCGTTCTATTGCTTCATGCATCATTTCACACACTTTTTTTCAATTGATGTAAGTTATAATATTTGGCTGCACACCGACACACAGCGTAGTTAACCGCAGAGCTACAGATTCCTGATAAATGTTACTATGATTGCTTGTTTACCGTCGATATCATGTACTTTTAATTAATGGTTGACCTTTCGGCGCCTCGGCGAAATAAAAGTAAACTAGTTGAGCCCCTGATTTGTCGGGTATATAGGAATGCGGTGCAGCTGGCTGGGTGGGGTGGCTGCGTTGACACAAGAACGCTTCTGTCTGTGCCCCGAAATACTCGCCACATTTTTTCTCCGTCGACGCACTGCTAGAAAAGACAGCTTCTTTCGCTTCTGTGAGCGTCATTAAGCGCACCCCTCACTGCTCTTCTTTCCGCGTTTGTCGCTTTTTGACTTTTATAATTAACGCTGTGGACCGCGCGGCAGTGCTATACTGCGCCTCTATACGCGCGTGGTCGTTATGCTCGCAGCGTGCACGCGCGCTCGCCACCTTGCAACTTTTTTTCACACTTCCGAAATTTTCGCGGGGGGGGAGTTTCGTTCTCTCTCGGGTTTAGTGAGAGCGATCTTTTATTAGTCGGATGTTTTATGGAGGCATTTGTTGCACAATGCACTCGCGAAGCTGCGCTTTTATCCTGCGAGTCTGGTATTTCAAATCTGGTCATTATTTCTCTGCATGGTCGTTAGTTTCGAGGTTATAGAAATATTCGAACGCGAGGGGAGGGAGGGACGCGCGCGTCTTTGCCTCGTCTGGGGTTGTCATAAAAAATATAGCCGTATTTTGTCTGCATCGTTTCCGAGACTTGGTTGGTGGGTGGGGGCGGGGGCGGTTGTCTCTATTAAACCCGTCTCTCCGTGCGTGTACCTATATAGCAGTGTTAATGTTTGTGGGGAGAGAGAGAGACGCATGCGCAGGGATTGCGTGCACGAGAGAGAGTTTGTCATCGATGAAAGGACTGTACGTGCACATCACGCGCGAATATATGCAGAGATCGCAGTATAAGTCATGCGGCTGCACTCACACGCACGCACGCACGCGCGAGTGCGCACACACACGCAGATGCATATGTCTAAGAAATGTTTTACTTATCTGTGTGAGACTGCATTTCGGTCGGACACCAGGAGACCCCAGATCGTAGATATAGTGGTAGTAAAAGAAAGTGAGAGAGAGAGAACGCGCGCGAGAAAGAAAGGGCTACAGAGAGAGATATATATATATAGAGAGAGAGAGGCAGAAGATGGAGAGAGATAGAGGGAGGCACGAGAAGATGGGGAGAAGAGAGAGAGGCAGAACAGAGGTGGAGAGAGATAGAGGGAGGCAGAGAGATGGGGAGAGAGAGAGACGGGAGGCAGTGAGATAGAAAGAGACCGACAGCAGCGAGAAAGAAGGGACGAGAGGAGGAAGAGAAGAGAGAGAGAAACGCGCGCAGAGGGAAGAAAAAGAGTAAAGAGAGAAAGAGACCACACCCAGATCAGACAGACCACGAAACCGAGATGAACGCGTTCGCTCGCTAGAAACCGATCCCCCGTCCACCAAGTTCACGCCTCGTTTTACGGTGACGATCCCGCCTGGAGCATCGGTCCCTACCGCCGCGCGTGTTCCCTCGTAATGAACGCAACGATGAAGTGCAATTAATGTTTCTGATATTTTTTTTCGTAGGAAAGTGATAGCAGCGACGGTGTGTTTAATGTTTGTCTCTAATAATCTATGCTTGCATGCGATGCTAGCGTGGTGGGGCCGCATTCTTACCAAGCTCGCCGCAGCGGCGTTTGATCGGGGCAGAGAAAACATCGCCGTGAAAGAGAAAAGTGCTGAAGCAAGCGTCTGTGGTAATGATGTCGAGTGTGTAAATACTGCGATCAATATAATATATATATATATATATATATATATGTGTTGTGTGTGTGTGTGTGTGTGTGTGTGTGTGTGTGTGTGTGTGTGTGTGTGTGTGTGTGTGTGTGTGTGGTGTGTGATGTGTGCGTTTTGTGTGTTGTATGTTGTGCGTGTAGAGAAGGAGCGGGAATGATGAGACTGGAAAGCGAAAGAATGAGGAAACAAAGAGCGAGCGAGCGAGCGAGAAAGAGAGAGAGAGAGAGAGAGAGAGAGAGACAGACAGACAGACAGAGAAAGAAACAAAATAAGAGCGAGATGACCGCGAAAAGCGCAGGAGAGTAAAACAAACTAGAACCAAGGGACGAGTGAGAGGGAAGAGAGAGCGACAAGAGAAAGGGAGCGAGAGAGAGAGAACAGAGAGAGAACAGAGAGAGAGGAGAGAGAAAGAGAGAGAGAAGGGGAAAGAGAGAAAGGGAGCGCAGAGAGAAGAGAGAGAGAGAGAGAGAGAGAGAGAGAGAGAGAGAGAGAGAGAGAGAGAGACAGAAACTATAGTGAGAGAATTCTAAGCTGTTCTCTCAAGCAGAATCTCAGTACGCCCTCCTGCCTCACGTTTCTCCCTCCTCGCCCTTCTCCCTCGCCCTCCTCCCTTCCACATCCCCCAACTTCCGCCACCGCCCCTGCTCCCAGTTCTTTAGACACACTGTTATTACACAGTGACAACAGACGGGGCGGAAGCTACGCGGTTTCTTGATAATGAGGTAGTGTGTTGTGTTTTCATTGTGGTCTGTATGTTAGCAGACCGAAAGCAAACGCTAGTGCAAGTGTGGGCTCATGCATGCATCTAAATGAATATATGCGCGCGAGTACACATGCACCTATGCATGATGTGCGCCAAGAGAGAGCGTTGTACGCTGGTTGGAATTCTGTGGCTTGCTATCTAACTCGTTTTGAATAAGCGAACAGGCGTGAATACATAATTGCAGTTTGATGACGCGTTAATATAGTTAACATAACTTTAGCCTAGACTTTATTAAATGGTCTCATCATTACCAGTCTACATAAATAATCACTAACTCTGCGCGCATGCTGATTCGCAATGCATCATGGCTTATTGAACGTTGACGACTTGCTGTGTTCGCGCATGCGCAGGGAGATGCGTGTATATGACGTAATCGTGGAAGGACTGTTGTCCAGCTGTGAGCATTCTGCACTAGAGACGGGGGTAGTTCTGTCATAATTAGTATCTAGTTATCGCACCCGCTTTACTTTTCACGTAGTAATAAATACTCGAACTTGGGTTACACTAAAAACACCAGATTTAAACCAGTTTCCGTCACGCGGCTGTTCGGCTGCTTACAACGTTTTTAAAATATATGCTAAAAGCAACGCACGCAAGGTTAGCGCGTAAAGGGCGAGGTTATTTTCGGTGGTTGCGATCGACGTGATACGTAAAGGATCGACAGTATTTGGAATGCTTTATATTGATCATCAGATAGTAGACTTATAGCAGGTTTATAGATGCTCGCACTATACAAACTTTAGGGGGGCACCGAGGGAGAGAGATGGGGATAGGGATAGCGAAAAGGAAGTGGGAGTGAGAGTGAAAGAGAGAGAGAGAGAGAGAGAGAGAGAGAGAGAGAGAGAGAGGAGAGAGAGAGAGAGAGAGAGAGAGAGAGAGAGGAGGAG